GCTTCTTGTTTTGTTTTGTTTTGATATGCCCAAATAGGCTGTGTGAGCTATCTGAGTCGCTAGCGCCCCTGAAGCTCCAATGTCCTGCCACCAGGTGGCCAGATCTGCCAGTAAGTACAAGAGCCCAGGAGTCCGCCCACTCCTCCTGTATGGATTCAGCTCAGGTGTCCAGGTAGTCGACCACCAAGTGTGTGGTGCAGGCTCTCACCTACAGTTCTAGACAGGCATGGGCGATTGGTGTAGGCACAGGCATCTGGCTGAAGCAGGGGGACACACACTGAGCAAGGCAGGGGACCAATGGCCACCCCTGAGTGTCCAGGAGAAAAGCATGTCCCTGTTCCCTAGAGCATGTAGATGGGTGGGTTTTACAGCCAGGCTATGAGCACCCAGTGCTGTTGGCTGTAAGGACTGGGGGGGCTCCTCTTATTCTTGGGCCCCTGTCGCAGGTGGTTAGGTGGTGTGGGTGGAGCCGCCAGTCCTCAGGCCCCTGATGTGGTAGGTGAAGACCCTGCTTAACGGGCAGAGCAGTGTCAAATGTCACAAACCTGCCCCTTCACAGCTGAAACAGTTGAAGTTAGACTTCAGGTATATACCCTATTGTACTGTGGTAATGAGGGCCTACGCTGTTGAAATGCGCCCACAAAAGTCTACGCAGGGGTAATGGCACTCAAAGTCCGTGGATCCCTTATGCCTGTGCCTAGGCAAAGGAGCTGTGCTTATTCTGAGTTCCTGGCTTAGGGGAACTGGCAGATTATTTTTTCCCCGTTCGTTAATTTGTTACCTCTCCAAGGCTGGGAGAATGGCTCAGGGCGCGTGATGGGTCCTTCTTCCGGCCCAGGGGACTCGGCAATCACTGAAACCAATCCCGGACCCAGTGCAGAGCAAGGAGCAGGGAGGTAAATGGGAGAGAGGTTTTTCCCTAAGGGGGGTGTTTTTGATCCACGCAGTAGGCCAGACTCAAGAACTTATCTTTTGCCGATTGAAGGCTGCTTCTCACTGGTTCTGGATGGCTGAGTATACTCTCTGCCACTGGGTCTCTCCCGATGTGGAAAATGCCTCCCAAGCGCCGCTGCTTGCCTGCCTCAGCGCTCACCCCCAAGCTGATCCGGGTTGAAGGGCTCAGACTCTCGCCAGGTCAGGTCTGGCAACTCCTCGCTGCTTCCGAACCATGTCTCCCTCCCCTTGCCACTCAGTCCGATTCCTCAACTTTGCCTTTGATGTTCAGGGCTCCTAGATTATCATATGTAATCAATTCACTTGTTTTTTTGGGTCTTTGTTGTAAGAGGGACAACCGGAAGCGTCTGACTACTCTGCCCCTCCCCCTGGAGGAAGGTCCTTGTGATGCGTCAGTCTTACCCCAGTCTGGGAACATCTCAGTAGAGGAACCTCAGGTCCAAAGGACGCACTATGCTCCTGGCACTGCTTTCTTGGGGTGCGAGGTTCCCATGTCTCTCTGCTCACTTCTCTCTTTTATATCTCAAAAGAGATTGGCTTAAGACACTATCTAATCTTGTAGACCTCATCAGTATAACTGCCGCTAATCCATCTTATTATGTCATAGTGAGGAAGTTTACAACACACGAGGAAATCACATCAGATTACAGAATGGTACGCAATCATACAATACTGGGAATCATGACCCAGCCAAGTTGACAGATATTTTTGGGGGACATAATTCAATCCATGACACTACCTCACAGGGTTATTGTGATGATTAAATGAGTTAATATATGTAAAGTGCTTAGAAGAGTGCCAGGCACACAGTGTCTGTTATATACTGGGAATGAAATTCAGATCTAGGCCCAATCACAGGAGCCTCTGGAACAAGTATACTGTAATTGAAGTCAAGTCTAACACGTTTACAGTAATATTTCTTGTACTATTTTTTCAGTGTAGAAATGTAGCTTTTCAGCTACATTATGGATTAGATAGGCTTTTGTTGGATTGCCTAAGAAACTAATCACCACTGTATCATACTTCTTCAGGAATGTGTATTCTTAGACCTAAACAGCCTTCTTACATGTCTTTTAGAACACAATCTTTGCAAGTCGAAAATTGCCTGTGTGTATAGAACCTAAAACACACTGAATTGAAGAAGGCTGTTTTACTGGGCCTGCACTTGAACTTTACAAATAGAGTGAAGCAACTGTCATTCATCTTCCACCTTAGCACCACCTTCGATAGCTTCATATCCTGTGCCTCTTCTCTGTCACTGCTGCTGTTGGTAACGAGCGCCTTTCCAAAAGGGCTGTACTGATTTTCTAGGTCTGGCAGGATGTAGAAAGGAGAAATGATTTGAAGACAAGTTGATCCCTCATGACAGGGCTGTGTGTCCTCGTTTCCTGTTCTAATGTTTGTGACACAGTCCAGCTGTGATTGAGCAACGGTTTTGGTGTCCCTGACAAAGGAATTAAATGGCGGCTTCAGAACCCTGCCCCATCTATCATATCTTTGAAGCTTTCAATTTTGTCTTCCAGATTCCTGGAGGAAATTATTGTTCTATGGAAAGGCTCTCCAATTTTTAGCAAAGGCATTCTAATCCCCCAAATAAAGGCACTACACAGTTCTCCTAAAATCTGGAGCAACCAATTTGTTATTAGGTGTCCGTGAGATTAAGCCATCTTTAAGCATGAAATTTTCTATACCTCCCAACTAGATTTTAGTAACCTAAAGTAGGAATTGTGCATTTTTTGGTTTTTCTCCATATCTCCTTAAATGCTTGAAATATGTTAGCTGACTGACTAGCCAAGATGCCAACCTGGGTCGCCTACATCAGTGATGGCCAAGCTTTGGTGCTCAGATTAGTGTAAATTCTTCATTCATTCATCAAATATTTGCTGAGATTCCTCTTAATCTCAAAAGATAAAAAGATGCCAAACGGAACATTGATAAATAAGTGCCAGGAGTGTTAGTATTTCAAATAAATATCCCAAAAGGTAGCATTGCTCATAACCGTCTATGTTAACACGAAGTACTTTGTTAGACTCTTGTTCTGCAAAGAGAACAGACCTAGCAATAATTAGTTGGAGTCATAAAATCTTACCACCTCATGGAGGGGTATTATAATTGCATTCTATTGCTGTTGTCTTACACTGGTAAGCTACCATGAGGTTAGTATTTCTGAACTACTTATGCACAGGGAAAGTGAGCCACTGGTAGGTTAACTTACTTGCTCTGGGCCTTATAATCAGCAGCTGGCAGTCAAGACAAATGCAGAAGGTTTTAAGCTTTTTATTCAGCCCATAAAGTGACAAAACAAAAGGGGCAGTTAATATGACTTGTTCTTTTTCCCATAAAAGGAAATTCATTTGTATTTTCCCTGCCATCCATCTGTGAAACTTTAGTCTCTGCTAACACCTGCATGTTAATCAGGGGTCACAGTATATCAAAGTGAAATAAATGTAGTCTCTGCTTAGTTCTTGAATCCTACAGCAGACTGGGAAGACGTGGGTATGCCCCTAAGATCTCTTTTCATTTTGGGACCAACTCAGCTGAGTTTCAGGGTAAGTCTGGAATTCATTTATAGACTTAAAACGAACATGGGAAGATATGTAACAGCAGTAGCTGCCCCAATTATGTCTAGAACACCCCTAGATGAAACAGCTCGCCCCTGAGTGTTCCCCATTTGGTAGACGATTATCTGAAACAACTAGAGGAGTAACTTCATACACAGTTGTGTTTAGACACTATCCAGTAATGGGCTAGAAGGGCTTTTCTGTTGCCCGATTACCACATTCATGGTCTGTACTGAGTATAGGTGTGTTTGTAGACCCTGTCCAGCAGAAAAATGATGACTGAAAATAAACATGATCTCTTCTAAAAACAGTTGTCTACAATTTGTACCTTAAAGGAAAGACATTTGTTTTTATGTACGTTTCCTCATTAAGAAAACTGAACCTTAGATGTCTGGGGGGACAAATACATACACAGTGAAACCTGTGAGAGCTGGAACTTGATGGGACTGCCTTGTTTTTCGCAAGTTTTCCACCTTTAACAGGGTACGGTCTTACCACTTTTCATTGCTCCTTTTAGTGGAAGATATTTGCATTTTCCTTCTCTGACAGGTTCCTGCTTTACACAGTTTCCAGCTCTTGCAGGTTTTACTATATAGGCACCAAAGCTTAAAGCAAAAAACTGGGTGGAAGACAATCTAAAGTCATCGGGAGCCCCACAATAGTTTGCTTCTGTAGTTTCCTCTGTTCACAGCCCGGGAAAAAGCTTCCCAATTGACCTCCTGGGTCCCAGTGCTTATTTCTCCAAACTCAACTCTCCTGTGAATGTCATTATTGAGTTTATCTATCTGGGTAGTATAGTTTATTTTAAAATGGTAGGAAGTTCACACAGTCTCTGGACAGGCCAGAGAATCAGGCAGGTTTAAAGATTACGTAGCCGGGAACATCACGCAAACCACAAAGACAGGGGTGGTCAAAGGATGGTGCCCCTGAACAGACAAAATATTGGACATAAACACCACAAGTCGTACAGGTGACACTGGGGACTAGATGCCGGAAGCTCTGCTGCTGCTGGGGGACCGCTCCCCCATAACCACTCCAGCAGTTTCGTGTCTATAGATGTATATTTTTTTCTAGGAATATACTAACATATATTACTTTCAGTAAAGAGATTTTGAATTGATGAATGAAGGAATGGCTGGGTGACAACTAGACAAGAGTAGATTATGGGTGGACTGTGTTAAAAGGAATAAGAAAGGTTTTCCTAGGAAATCATGCAGAGAGCTGAGATTTCAAAAGCTTAATCCCAATCCCTTCATAACTAAATTTTTTTCCATCTGAAAACTGGTGTTTTTTTAGTAAGAGTGAATTACCCAAGTGATGAGGGATTAAAGAGTAAGCTGTACTGCTCTTATCTGCTGAGTTTGTTCTATTGATATCCCCCACTGCGGGCTCTTTTTGATGGTTTACTGTACCCACACTGTCCCCAAAACTGTACGCAGAAGCTGGAGGTAGCTCATCCGGTTAGATTTTAAATGAAACCGAAATGAAAGTTCACTTCCTCATTGTGGATGCCTCATGTGACAAGTTCCGATTTCTTCTTAAAGTCAATGTAACTCAGGTCTCCTTGCTGCTTCTGGAAGCCTTGGAGGGAGCCCATCAGTTCAAGGACTCTTCCTATGGGTGTTCCTGCCGGCCCCAGCAGGTAGGCACTGCCTGTTGCTTTTCTCCCCGTTTGCTCTCCAAACACCCACCTTTATGTTTCAGCTCGCTCTGCCTGCTGGTTCACAATCTTCTGTCTAAGGAAGTCAGCTAAGAAATCACTTGCCCAACTTGCTCTTTCACTTTTTGACTAAAAACAATCTCTTTTTGAAAAGTTAATGTCTGCTTAAACATCTAAGCCTTAGGCTGAAGCACAGCTTTCTTTGGAATGGTTACAATTCTAAATGTTTTGAATTAAAAAGAAACGTGAAAAGAAGTAAAATCTAGTTTGATGGAGCTAGTCACTTGTGTTGAAAGTCCCTTTGAATTAAATTTAGAAGCGGTGTTTTGGTAAGTAGTTAATTGCTTCTGTTGACACAGATATTCTGATTGCTGAGAAAAAGAAGTTTAAAAAGTAAAATGACCCACGGGCATGAGAACAGTACGTAGGCTTGTCTTTTAACTACTTTTAAAGGTCATGGACGTTTAAATAAACCAGTTAAGAACAACTCATGTACTGGAAAATTCAGAAGCTAAACCTGATTCTTCAGAGGTTTGTCTTCTTCTTAAGGGTGACTTTTTTGGAAAGGAAGAAAGAGGATTTCAATGAACTAGATTTGTTGGCAAATCCTGGAAAGCCCTGGCTTCCCCGCCGCCCCCCGCCCCTCGCCCCTATAAATTTGGTTTACCGGATACTGGGAAATTCCTGAAAATAACTTGTTAGCGCTACTAAGCGATGGAAGTGGTAGTTTAGACATAAACATGACGTTATATGTGGCTGTAGATCCCAGAAAGTTTCCTAAATAATTCTGTCCCTTTGATGGATTTTTGTTACGAAAAAAAATACGGTCAGTACCCATGCAGCTAGTAGCCACTCTTCGTATGTCTTCTTTCCTTACACAGAATGACGTGGGTGGTTTGGGTGCTCCTGCTGTGCACCTCTGCAATGGCGCAGCTGCATAAGGATCCCACCCTAGATAACCACTGGGACCTCTGGAAGAAAACCTACGGCAGGCAATACAAGGAAAAGGTAGATGAGATTGCCATGCAAGCGATGCGCTTCCAGACCGTGTGCTTTCTCCCTGTCCAGATTCTGTTCTTCCAGCAGTGTTGTAATCAGTACTACTCACTCATTTCTTGCCAGATGCCATTCTTGGTGCTAGAGATACAGCAGGAAACAAAACAAAGTTCCTGTTCTTACGGAACTTCCATCCTACTGAGAGAAACAGCAAGGAAGTAAACGGGTAGCTATAGCGTATGGTAGATGGGAATAAGGGCAGAAGAGAAAAATCCAGCCAGGAATGGGGGACAGGAATGGCCTCAGGTGACGAAGGTGGGGAGTGGTTATTCCATGTATATGATAGGATGGTCTGAGAAGGCTTTACAAATAAAGTGACATTTGAGCAGAGAATTGGCAGAAGCAAGGGAGCAAGCAAGGTGAGTAACTGAGGGCAAAGGTCCCCGGCCAAGGGAGAACAAATGCAGAACTCTGAGGAGGGAGCACGTGGGGTGTTTGAGGAGCTCAAAGACCGTATGGCAGCTCCTGCCCATGGAAGCGCTACCAGATGTTTCTTGACTTTTACTTCCCACCTTGTAATTCTGTTTACTTCAAAGCATACCGAGGGACTGATTTTCAAACTTCACCCTGTTCTTCAAAGAACGAAGTCCTATAACTATATAATATCTGTAGTTTATAAGCTAGCATTATGTGTTAATTTATTTTCTGTATTTCTTTGTATAAAAATGACACTCTCAGTAGGACGCGCACTCGGTTGTTTTCCCAGTGTGATCAATTTCACCCTCACCCGCTCCCCTTTAGGACTAGGCCCCCGGTTTCAAGGTTGGCTAGCGGGAGATGTGCTGTTAGCACCACTCTCTGGCTAAGCGAATTCTGTCCCTCGTTTGAATGATGCCCGTCCTTCAGGAGCAATGAGCATGACTTTTGATTAGAACTCCTGATGCCTTTACAATTTATCACCAAGTTCACTTACTTGTCTCTTTTATTCATCCCTGCCCTTTGTTAGATTTATTTTCTATATTCCAGTTCTTCCTGCTCTAGTGGTTTGGGAGTGCGTCTGTATCTGCCCAACACTGGGCTAACAGAGTAAAACCTTGCTCCAAGGGAGAAGGGACTGACTCCAGGCTCCCCACCTGAAACCTGTGGCCTTGAGGGGTGAGGGTGGCATAAACCAAAAAAAAAAAAACAAACAAACTAGTTGTCATTAAGTCGATTCCGACCCACAGTGGCCATATAAGACAGAGTAAAATGCCCCCATGGGGTGTCCAGGGCTGTAATCTTTTCCGAAGCAAATTGCCACAACTTCCTCCCATGAAGCAGCTGATGGGTTTGAACCGCCAACCCTCTGTTAGCAGCTGAGCGCTTAACCACTGTGCCACCAGGGCTCCTTGGGGGTGAAGGAGGGGGTGAGCAGTTAATTCTAAGGGGCACCATGGATACTGTATTCTGTGTATATCATATTCTATAGACATGAAGCCCCTGGGGGGCAACCAAAGTGACAATCAGAATATGAGTTCACTCCTTATAAAATTAAACTAATAGAGCAAAACAGGATTTTAAAATAAAACATCCACACCGATGAATGAGAAATGGTGAAATAATTTAGAAATCCTGTCAGAAATCTTGGAAATGAAAGATACAGTCATCGAAAGAAGAACTTAATAAAAGGGATAAACTGCAGACTGGAGGGAGGTGGATAGACTGAGCAAAGCGGGAGACAGCAGCACGGAGGCGTTCACCCTGCATGCGGCACGTGGGAATAAATGGCAAAAACTACGAAAATCGAGGTGAGAGATGTGAAAGAGACTTGGAGTCTCCCACATACACCTGATAGGAGTTTCTCAAGAAGAGAATTAGATGGAACGATGGAGAAGCAATATCTGAAGAGATACTGGCTGAGAATTTTCCAGTTATGAAAAAAATCCGGGGCCTCCAATCAAAAGTGCTCCCCAGTAAATGACAACAGTAAGAAGTACACAGGAACAGAAATGTTTCTGGTAAATGCTGTAACATATACAATTTTGCAATCACAACCAAAAAATATGTGTGAGGTTACATAGGTAGATACGTATGCATGTATGTGCATAAGAAGGTACACGTGAGTGTACAGGTGTCCGTGCATAGGTGCATCTGTAGGCATATGTATATACATGTTTGGGTCTGTTGCATGTATATATTCACATATATAATAAAGCTCATAGGGGCACAGTTACAGATACTTCCTAGACAGAACCAAACACCTCACTGGATTGGTTTACTGGGTTTGAAGGCTTAGGACCCTAGTCTTGTGGGATAACTCAGTCAACTGGCATAATGTAGTTCATAAAATGTATGTCCTACAGCCTAGTTTGGTGAGTAGCATCTGGGGTTTTAAAAGCTTGCGAGTGGCCATCTAAGATACAACTATTGGTCTGTACTCGTCTGGAACAAAAGAGAAAGAAATAAACCAAAGACTCAAAGAAAATACTAGGCTGCAGGACTAATAGCCCACACAAACGACAGCTTCATCTATTCTGAGACGAGAAGAACTAGATGGTGCCTTGCCACCACTACTGACCCCTCTGACCAGGTAGACAGTAGATGGTCCCGGATAGAATGAGAGAAAGTTGTAGAACAAAACTCATATTCTTAAAAACAGACCAATAGAGACTAGAGAAACCCCTGAGACTATCGCCCTGAGATACCCTTTAAACTTAGAACTGAAACCACACTCGGAGGTCACCTTTCAGCTAAATAACAGACTGGCTTCTAAAATAAACAATATCACCCATGTGTACTGTACTCCTTTAAAAAAATCATCTATATGAGACCAAACTGTCAACATTTACCCTAAAGCAAAGATGAAAAGGTAAGTGGGGACAGGGAAGCTAGATTAATGAAAATGGAACAACCAGAGTGGAAATAATGAGAATGCTCACACACTGTGAAAAATTTAACCAATGTTGCTGAACTATATGTGTAGAAACTGTTAAATGGGAACCTAATTTTCTGTGTAAAAAATTTTTTGATTCTTTATTTTTTATTGTACTTTAGGTGAAGGTTTACAGATAAATAGTTTCTCATTAAACAGTGGTACACATATTGTTTTATGACATTGGTTAACAACCCCACGACATGTCAACACAGTTCCTTCTCAACCTTTTTTTTTTTTTTTTTTTTTTGGTGAAAATATACATAGCCAAAGATACACCATTTCAAAAATGTCTACACGCACAGTTCAGTGACATCGACTATGCTCTTCCAATTGTGCTGCTATTCTCACTTTAGATGAAGGCTTACAGAACAAAATACTTTCTCAGTTAACAGTTAGTACACATGTTGCCCTATGACAATGGTTAACAACCTCACTGCACATCAACACTGTCCTTACTCAGCCTTGGGTTCCCTATCACCAGCATTCCTGTCCTCTTCTGCCTTCTAGTTCTTGTCCTGGAATGCTGTGCCTCATTAGTCCTGTTTTGTTTTATGGGGCTGTCCAATCCCTGGCTGAATGGTGAACCTCGGAAGTGACTTCACCACTGAGCTAAAAGGGTGTCCGGGGGCCATACTCTTGGGGTTTCTCCAGTCTCCTTTAGGGCAGTAAATCTGGTCTTTTTATGTGTGAGTTAGAATTATGTTCT